CTACCGTGTGTAACCAGCAATGTTACACATCACATCACGACTACAGGACCACCTGTATTCTCTAAAGCACGCCGACTAGCTCCTGAAAAGCTAAGGTTAGCGAAAAACGAATTCGATCACGTGATAGATTCAGGAATCATACGACCGTCAAATAGCCCTTATGCATCTCCGTTGCACATGGTCCCTAAAAAGGACAGCAACGATTGGCGTCCAACTGGTGACTATCGGCGATTGAACGCGAAATCCATTCCCGATCGTTACCCGGTGCCTCAAATTCACGATTTGACAGCTACCTTGAAAGGTACAACTGTCTTTTCGAAAATCGACTTGGTTAAAGCGTATAACCAAGTCCCTATGGCTACTGACGACATACCGAAAACAGCTATCACAACTCCTTTCGGACTCTATGAATTTTTGCGAATGCCTTTCGGTCTAAGGAATGCTGCTCAAACATTCCAAAGATTCATAGACGACGTTTTTCGAGGTCTCAACTTCGTACATACGTATGTTGACGACTGTCTAATCGCAAGTCCGGACAGAGAAACACATCTCAAGCATCTGGATCTTGTTTTCGAACGACTTCAAAAACATGGCATAACTGTAAACGTTCAGAAATGCCAATTCGGAACCGACTCGTTAGACTTCCTAGGACACACTATCGATGCTCAAGGCATTCGACCTCTTAGGACCAAAGTGGTGGCCATTCTGGATTACCCAGAACCGACCACCGTCAAGCAATTACGCACGTTTAACGGCCTCGTAAGTTTCTATAGACGTTTCATACCGAAATGCGCATTACTCATGAAACCTCTGACCGACCAACTTCGTGGAAATGCGAAATCCATTAATTGGGACGACATCGCACGAAAAGCATTCTCCACAGTTAAGGAACTGATTGCTAAAGCAACAACGCTCGCACATCAGGACACCCGAGCACCCATTAGCATCGCAGTAGACGCATCGGACTCGGCAATCGGAGGAGTCTTACAACAATGGGTTAACAACTCCTGGCAACCCTTGGCATTTTTCTCTAGAAGGTTGCTAGACACCGAATCGAGGTACAGGACATTCGGTAGGGAACTCCTAGCTATGTATTGTGCTGTACGGCATTTTCAACACTACATCGAAGGTCGTGAATTCACTCTTTTCACGGACCATAAACCGCTCACTTTCTCGTTAAGCTCTCCTTCTGACAAGTACTCTCCCCGTGAGTCTCGACAACTGGACTACATTTCGCAGTTTACTTCAGACATTCAACACATCTCTGGAGCAAACAATGTAGTTGCAGACGTCTTATCTCGCATAACTTCCTTGAACAGTTTCCAAGGAATCGACCTTCTGAAACTCGCCGAGCTTCAAAAAGAAGACAGTGATCTTCAGCACGAGTTATCGTCCACAACACTTAAACTACGCATCAAACAGATGGGAACAGGTAAGGAAACCTTACTTTGTGACACGTCTACAGGTAGGGATCGCCCAATCGTGCCGAAACATTATCGACGCAATGTCTTCAACACATTGCACAAACTTTCGCATCCAGGTGTTCGTGCAACCATCAAGCTTATAGCAGAACGGTTTTGCTGGCCTGGAATGAATAAAGACGTGGGGGAGTGGGCACGCTCCTGTGTAAGCTGCCAAAAATCTAAGGTCATCAGACACAATAAATGTCCCTTAGGCTCGTTTAAAACTCCCGATGCTCGTTTCGACCATGTTCATCTGGATTTGGTAGGACCTTTACCAGATTCAAATGGATACTCTTACCTCTTAACCTGCGTAGACCGTTTCACTCGATGGCCAGAAGTAGTACCTATCAAGGACATCACTGCTGAAACAGTGGCACGCACCTTCGTCGAACGATGGGTAGCAAACTTCGGTTGCCCTTCAACCATCACTACAGACCGCGGACGTCAGTTTGAATCTGATCTTTTCCGTCGTCTGACCACACTTTTATGAATCACTCGCTTCCGAACGACCGCCTACCATCCACAAGCAAACGGGTTGGTAGAACGTTTTCACCGACAACTGAAAGCTTCGCTATCAGCTGCAAACGTTTCACAGTGAACCGACGCTCTTCCACTTGTCTTACTAGGTATCCGCAATGCAGTGAAAGCTGACATTGGATACACTGCGGCTCAACTCGTTTATGGAACGACACTTCGACTTCCAGGAGAATTCGTGGATCCTTCATCCTCTTCAATGAACATGGATCTAACCTCCTACACGAACAGGCTTACAAACGCAATGCGTTCAGTTAAACCTGCTTCCACTCGACCTCAATCAACTGATGTTTTCGTTCAACCTGACTTACGATATAGTACACACGTTTTCGTTCGTCGAGACTCGCATCGACGACCATTCGAATCAGCATACGAAGGACCCTTCAAAGTTCTTCAACGCGAATCGAAGTACTATATAGTCGATAAGAACGGAACCAACGATAGCATCAGCATCGATCGCTTAAAAGCAACGTATTTAGAAGGAAATCCTATCTACGTCGACTTTCCTTCGGTACAATCGGACAACGCGACTCCTACACTCATAATTCCTCAACCGACAACCAACACTAGCGATGATACTCCGAATGTATCTGAAAATAAACTTAAAAGGACGCGTTCTGGAAGAAGAGTAAGATTTCCAGAACATTTAAACGACTACTGCACGTAAAGCACTAATCCACATTTTATATTATCTCCATCTTTCTTTTTACTATATATAATTTTTTAATAAAAAAAAAGAATTTTAATATGTTTATATATTTATATTTTTTTACTAAAAAAAACAAAACAAAAAAACATTTTTTAACGCTGTTATGTGTGCTTGAGTATATTTTCCATTTTTTCGCCGACATTGAGTTTTTACGCACATACGAGTGTATTTCGACATGTACTTACACTTTCTTTTTTCTTTTCCAGGACGGCTGGAAAAGAACGATGCAGTTTACGAGGAATCGAAATTTTTCGTTGTAACTGTTTCTTTTTTTACTATGTTGTACCTCGGTCCCATATAGTAAGGAAAGACGACCAGACGCTGCTACACATAGTAAGCTATCAGAAGAGTGTTTACCAACGACAAACTCGTTGGGTTTAAACTTCTGGCTGGCCACGTCTTAGGGTCGTCACTACCTCACTAGGGGGGGGAGTGATCTGTAGCGGTAAATAAATCCCCAAAATAAATAGCCCTAAGTTTTCGACATTGGATGCTGACCATATGTTTTAGTGGACTCATCTAGCTGAAGGCGCTCGGTCATGCATCCGCACCAGATCACGTGTGGTAACGCCGTGCTCAACATCAACCGCAATCGCTAGCCAGATTAGATCAGAGAATTCCGATATATTGGTCATCGCCAAATATACTCTTCCGATCTCCTCGACTCTGTCTTTTGATTTCTCTGGGCGGGAACGAAATACATTAGAAGGTGTTACTGGTAGAAGCGTTGTCAAACACTGAATACCTGTGACATCATCACTCGCAACAACTACTCAGCTTAGATCGAACACTTCTTGACATATCGAATAATTTTCAAATTCACAACCGAAATCCTTCATTCCTGGCTTTTGATTTGACTGAGTTTTGGATTCATGATCAAAAAGGCATCACGAACAACAGTGATGTCATGCCCTAAACGTCCTCGATGTATTCAGCCAAGCTGGCAATTGAAAATGAAAACAGATAGCGAGAAGTATTTTAATCTATGTACTTCAACCAAACAACATCCTGTGCATCTAAGATATAACAGCCAATTTCAGTAACCCTGTTCTCTACAGACAAACATATTCGCATAAATTCAAGCTAAACCAACCTCACAAAATGGCTGCTATATTCACTAGGACTGCTGTGATTCACCTACTAACAATATTGAAGCCTATCGAACACTTGAAACTTCGTGTTCACAGTGCGATGCTAGGCAAAAGAAACTTTGTGATTTACATAAGCTCATCATAATTATAATAGATATTGGACCTACTTCAGGTGGTACCACATAAAACGTAACTTATTCAAATGCACGTGTAACGGTTTCGGAATCTCGTGCCAGCGAGTTTGAAGGAACTCCTTAACCGTGCCTCACTTCTGATTGTAATTGTTGAATTTTTTTAGTTGCACTGTATTACTGATTGCTATCAATCGGTATCCTAGCTATATGTAAGTGTGCTTCATGTGCCCACTAAGTCAGTCACCGTATTATTGTTTCTATCATTCTCTTATGAATCTTTCATTACCCAACCGGGAATCTTTTTTGAAAAAAAGGTAAAAGTGAAAGTAAAGGAAAACACTAGGAGAGCAATTTGAAGGATCATTAAGGAGTTAGGAGCGAAGTATGGGGAGAACGCGTCTGTCTTCTAAATTACATGGCAGCGCGACAGATTCAGTTAGAAATAACTTAATAGGTTTTCCTAAAAATACGATTGATGCTACGGATTGAAACGTTCAGCTTACAATGTCTATTTGTTAACATACCTTTTGAATGACGTTCTTTTGCGTGTAGCTGTAGATAGTATCTACAGCTACGTTATCCGTGTTCGCATTAGAGTCTTAAATGAAGCATATAAAACAATCAGTGCATAGCGGTGCATAAAATTGTACGTGAACAGATGCAAAAGAAGGAAGATTTGGTATTTACTTATACAAGAAGCAGATAATTCGTTGGTATTTCAAACCTACAATGGGAAATGTTGCACTATTTTCCATACTAGGCAAAAAGGAAACTTTTTAGCGCGTTACTTTTGTTGTTTCCTCTATTCTTGCTGGTCATTTGGGATAGTTGGGGAAAATCTGGTGTTTCTTGGTACAGAAAACACGAGTAAACTTTAGGAATACCCGGGACTTAAAATTTTTACCATGATATCATCATTAAGCATACATTTTTGCTGTGTTTATTTAGTCATCACCTTATAAGTACACTTATTCATCTCTGTTTCAGATTCCCATAGACATTTCCGCGCCTGACAAACCTGTAGACTAGCCTCATACTTACCAAAGGCTGAACGTTACATATATCTTAGATGTTTTATAGTATCGATTTGCTTTCAGCTCATCGAGGGAAGTTCGGGATTATATGGTTTGATATATTACATCACTGACTTTTTAAAGGCTGGCAGCTACCAGGGTAAGAAAACAACTATCAAGAAAGGAACTAAATTCTGTCAATATTGTTACTGCTTGGTATGTTTAGTCTCATCTTTTATTGCTGCTAGCAATGAAATAACTTCATATATTCTAGGAGAGACACAACTTCGACTCTCATTGTACTTAGCATCCCAGTTGACTTTCGGTATTTGTATCATTTACAGAGAAAAAACTATTGTTATGCTACGTAAGTTAGACATACTGGCTACCTTTTTCTGTGTTTTTTGTGCTGATTAAATATTCCGATTTGTTTACAAATACTAGGTGACTTGCAAGAGCTAAGCCAGAAAGCTTCTGTAACTACAAGCCGGTCCATTGACCTACCCACTTGGTAAAAACTTTGTTCACGTTTGTTAGTTCGTTTGTCTATTTGCCACAATTTGTTGCTCTACATTTTTAACGAGTTCTTTGTTTTATGTATACAGTACTAAATCTCGTACAAAGCGTAAAACTCGTGTACCAGTTGATGATCCTGAAGTACCTCTGTTAAACTTGTACAACGAAACAAGTGATTTTGGAAATCTTCAGTTGCCTGATTTGTTTTGGCCCAGTATCAATGAACCTTGTCTGGATTTCATGGATACACAAACTCTGTATCAAGCACGAAATGAAGACATAACTTTGGTGGAAGACCCTTCGGTCGAGGTATGTTGTTCATAATCCTCGTCATATTTGTTTTTTTGCTCAAGTTAGAACGTCTTATTTAGATATTTAAGCTTATAGAATGTTTAGAGTTCGAATCCTTGTTTCGAAGTCAATTTTCAGTATTAACGATAAGAGGTCAAGCAACCTATACTATTCCTTGCAGTTCGTAGTACCATAGAAACCCAGTCTAGCCCTGAATACATCAGCAGGTACTGGTATCCCCCAAATGCCCCTTTACGACCGAGAGTGGGGAGTGTCAACTCTCATGTAGCCACGCGCCTGCAAACACTGCTAGGGAAGTCCTACTCACTGCATTCTCGCATCGGTGGTGTTTACAAAATTATGAGGACGAAAAGCGAATGGTGGATACGGAGGATCGGCTTCGGGGAGTTAGAAAACCCTGTCTCCAAACCAATAGTGTTTACGGGCCCCAGGATCCTGAGGGAACAAATGGCGTACAAACCCATTGTGGGTCACCGGTTGCCATGGGACCGCATCTCTTAACGTTGCTTCATTGCCTTGTTGACTAGACCTTCAGGTCGAAGTTTCGGGGTGTAGCTCCTTATGAAAACCAACTGCTTTGGTCTGGGCGCCTGGGCAGTATCTCAGCCCTGACAAAATCAAATAATTTGTGTGGTGTTCATATATTTTCGCCCCCTTGTACTAATATATATGTGTTTAGATAAATAAATAGATATTACATGTTCTTGTAAAGAATTATTGTAGTTCACTACTCAGTGCGATAACGGAACTTAGGCCGTGAACGGCTTAGTCTTGATCTTCAAATTCTTTTAAACTGTAATCACAGATGATTAGTTCTAGGCGATGAAAAATATGAAACATTCATACCAAAATTATCGTTCCGCATACGGTAGGCCAGTATTAAATTACTTCTTAATAATCAGCTAGTTAACGTGTATAACTTAAGGTGTTAGAAAGTAATTAAGTGAAATCTTGAAAAAGAATGAAGTAGATCGCGTGATGAATTATAGAACTTGTGAATAAATATAAAAGACATGTAGTTGTTAAAAAATAAACAAATCGAGCGATGAGTATTATTTTATTGTACCAAATCATGTATATGACTGTAAAACCATAATGGGAAACTAATTTGAAAGAAATTTATTTGCTCGATTCGTTCTTCCTTTTACTAAATGTCAGAGTGGTGATTTTTCAAAATTAGAAGTCGATAAGATGGGTCACATAATGATACTAATAGAAAAAATTTGTAGAGTTGAGATAATTAATTAGAAGTAAAAAATCGCTGAATAAGGAGATGATTTTGGTGTACATAAAATAAAAATTAGTTTACAAAATAAACGCTAATAAAATGATAGAAATAATAACTAAAGGTGATATTGTTCAGAACTATGCATTTACCAAGATATTGATCAGTTGGTTACTGTCTCTTTATGGATACATAAATCAGGTTTGAGTTTCTTTATTTTTACCTAAGAGACTGTGCTTTTGTCTGCCGATAATTTGGAAGGACTGGGGAATGTCAATTGTATGCCCTGTATCAATTAAATGCCAAGCTATCGTTCTATTTAAAGCTGTTCCTCCTCTCAGTTTCAAATTCTTTGGAACTTGATTAGAAATGCGAACATTTACTCTTCTCTCGATCTTTCTAATGTCTTTTCTTTGTCACTTACATGTAAATTGGTAAATGCAGTTGAAAGTACTGAGAAAAGGGAATCTATCTATGTTTCTTTATTCGAATGAGCAGTTCGTTCCGCGTAACACCGTCAGTCCTGGCGTTAAATAAGCAATACTCTTTGCGGCATTCACCCCGTAGTTGATTTTTTCAGTGATTTCATCTCCTTTACAGCGCAGATATAACAAGTAGGTTTTCTTTTCCACTAAAATATACTCAACGTGTACGTTGGTTTTGAAATACTTCTCGATCAATTTCACTGTATATGCATTTTCACGTAATAAAAGCAAGTTCTTTCATACTTCCCTTGGAGGACGTTTTATGTGCACCAGCCGAGTCTAGAACACCAATAACAGCCTCCACTATGTGAATCGAATCATTTATTTCAGACATATTGGGTTTATATATCAACCAAACAGACCTCAACGCACCATAAAATAGGAAATAACATTTATGCACAAAAACGCCAAAATGTGACTGTGAATGTGGGAGACAGTAGTCAATAAACTGAACATAGTTTAAGAACAGTGAACCGTACAATAATAATATATATGTCAAAATGATGCTTATAAAAAAGGGAATATAGATGTACATAATCTAATTGTACCATAAGAATATATAGATAATATTTGTCCATCAATAGGTCTCGTAATTTAATCTTCGCTAGAATATAACACTGTCCACACAGCCAATCGTTGTTAAAAAACTTACAAAACATTTGCTCAATGAATAATAAACAATAGAACTGTATAAACTCTGTCCGATTAAAAGAAAAACCGACAAAAATACACAAGATCCCAGGAGGTGCAAAACTAACCAAAAATAGTGTACTTCAATGCGAATTTGAAGAAAATCTCGAACTTTAACCTAAATAATCCTTGTTAAAATTGACCAAATATACTTTTGATACATAAACACACAAAAGCAAAGTTAATCCACAAGTTTAAAAACACTGGGCTGTTGGAACGCGCGCTTGCAAATGTATAATCAAAGACCAGTCTAGTAGTGATTTCACTAAATGTATCAATTCCAGTTTGGCATAAACACAAGGCTTAATGATTTACGTTAGCCATGGCGGTTTAAATTAACATTTGAATCGATGTCTGGTGCATAATTACCCGAGTCACCATTTTGTCTATTACTCTAAGGAATTACGGTTCATATTACTGATTTTCTATGTAATGTATATCTCCCTACCTTCCTCGTTTCGATAGCTTTTCGTTACCCTCAGAATTCATAACGACAAACGAAGACAGAGTAACAGCTATGAAGGGTTTACTCTAATTATTGCTTCACTGACTTGATTCATACCATTTATTACCTAGCAGTAGACATTTATACCGTTTAAAGCTGTATCTCTGTTGTGTAGGTCTGACTAGAACAACCTGCAAATCCAACAAACTAATTTATTAGTAACATATCTCACATTTCGAAATGGTAAATCAGTAAAAAACGAAATTGCCAAACGAATCTTGGAGAAAACAAAAGATTGGATACATGTTAATATGACAATCGTCTTTTGGCTTATAAAAGGGAATTATGTATGGACATTGATTGATGAGGTAGTTTCGTTACATGTTCTACTCAGGATATTCAAATCTCACACACTTGCTACATGTTCCTTTTATTAAGGATACCGACCCTATTTAAGCTTATTGGTACCTATGTTGAAACAAGTATTTATGACTACTTCTGCATGTCTCCTGTCTTATTATAGACAACTGGTACTCGTTTTTCATTTGGTGAAGATTTTTTGCCGGAGTTTATCCTTGAATCGATAAATCGTGATCATCATACCGTTCAACCAGTAGATTTAATTCCTATTGAGATTCAAAATGGCAAGAGACACATTTCTAAACATTTAGTACATGAGAGTGAAGCTGAAGTTACAGAATATTCTGCAGTAGAAAGATCATGTTATTCAGATAAACCTCAGAGGTTTGTTTTTCTTGGTTCATTTGTCTTATTTTTCTTTCTTGTCAAATTGACAGTCTAATGTTGTTGAGTTTAATCAAATTCAATTCAAGTGACAAGAATCCTGGCATAACATTACCTGTGTATATAACGTGCATGTTTAGTACGTTGATTATCCATCGATTGATTCACGTTTATAAAACGAACCGCATTCTCTACTTACCTATGTTGCATTATGGTTGACATATTATAGAAAAGCATAAATTTTATCTGTAGTACATTTTGTTTTCTCTTACTTGAGTTAGCGAATTAGTGGCTTCATAAACGATCATTTTCCCATAATCCTCTCCTTTCTGCCTAACAGTCAGTCAGCTAAAACGTAAAACCAGGCACGTATATGTATTGGCCCGAATTGCAGTGACTCATTAGCATAACAACATGAACACCGAATTCATAGAAGTGGTCACTTCAATGGTATTAATGTATAAAAGAAAGATTGTGTATAAGGATATAGTACAGAAAGAAAGAATTAATTCGTAGAAATAGAGGTGTAAAGTAATTTCAATCTCATAGTTTGAGGGAAGACAAGGAATGTATACACCTATACCATTGTGATCGACTCTGAGCCATGTCATCCATATTTTCCGACCATTGGCTCGATAGTCAAGAGAACCCCAACCAAGTAGACTACATCTGCCAGCATGACTTCTAGGACTGATGTCAGGTTTCGGTTTGGATGTCCCTAACTTGCTTCCATCCATCTTCAGCACTTGTCAGCATTGTACGTCGTGGTAATCGGTGTTACGGCATGCGTAACACGTGGTCCAACCATCTCAGTCGATGAGGATCCACAACCTCATCAACTGATTTATCACCATTCTCTAGTACAATGTACTTAGCCTCACCATTACTTACCTGGTGATCCCAGCAGATGCGAACAGTGTTACTAAGATGTCTTTCATCAAATACTGATAACTTACAAGTATCTTCTGCATAATGACCCAAACATTATCTGATTTTAATTTGTAAAGTTTTTAGCTATGTTTAGAGATGACGCCTCAAGCTTTCAAAATCTAGTTAACATCCAACATTCGCTACTGTCTTTTCCATTTATCTACAGCCTGACATTGTAAAATAATTACGACAAATTAATCTTGGCTCCCAACTGCCTTGGTACTGCCGAGAGCGGAACGAGTCTGCTATTCCTCTCATATGACCACGAGTATATAGCCACTTCCAAGTAAATCCTACTCATCCCCTTCTCTTAGCGATGGTGTTGTTTACGAATTTGAGGGGACGAAAAGCAAATATCCTGCGCCTAAACGTGGTTGGTGGGCACAAAGGATCCATCTAAGGGAGTTCGGAGGATTTGAATCCGAACTAATGGCGCAGATGAGTTCAATGACCCTCGGAGAAAAAATGGGACACCGACCTATTATTGGGCATCAACTACCGTGAAACTGCATTTTCTAACGTTTCTCCACTGTCTTGTGGATTAAATCTCTTGGTCATTAACTCGAGAAGAGTCTTCTAGGACAACCACCTGCTTCGTTTTGGGCAACCAGGCAGTATCATACCCCTCACACTTATTATGGCCCTTATATATTTTGGTGCCCCTTTGTACCAATGTTTATGTTTTTAAATAGGTAATTAAATAAAACATTCTTTTGATTCAAACGCTGTATTAGTCCAGAATAGCACCGGTATAACGACGAGTATTTTTAGGCAAATGTATTACTTAAATACCACATTTAAATAGAACTGCTCGAGACATTATAGTATCCTCCTCAATATATATAAGAATTGAGTTGTGAAATGTTGATCTGTCCATAAAATTTGTTCTTATTTGATCATTCGGATAGAATGCGAAGCGACAATTAATTTGTAAACACTGTCTCGATTTTGCGACACAACGAAAATGACCGACCTGAGAATTGCGTTTTTTATGTAGTGTACTACCAATAAGTTTGAATCGTGTCATTTACTTTCTAAAACATTTCTTTCAAGGCCGATAACAACAATACAAGAAAGTGATGTCATATACGATTCCGTATTAAATCAATTTGTCCCCGTACGTACAGAGATGGTGAACTCGTAAGTTTCGATTGAAAATTTTTACTTAATTGTACTTATTACATTTGAATGTATTCGATAAAGTGTATATAAATCTAGACTTTTGCACTGAACTTAACAAAACTAATCAACTGTGTCCGTACAAGCTTAAGCACGTGCATTAGATTTGAAGATATAATTTGTTAACTGAAAATCTATTATGCGAATCACTGTGTCCTGACAGTTGTAATTTTTCCACCTAGTTCTATCTAGTCAGTATTTCTGTAAAGATTACTGCTATCTCAGTAGTCATCGTCATCAGCTTTGATTATTTTAAGGTAAAGTGTGTGTTTCCATTGTGAATTATCAAGGTTTTTTGTCATCTTAAAGTATATCGTACTGACACTTTGAATCAATTGCCTGAATTTTTTGCACTAATATTGATAAACTGTAATTATATATAAAGCCTATCTTAATGCGATTTATAGACTTGTGATGTAACTTACTATTGTTTTCAACTCTATGATGATCCGAAGTGCATGTGTAGTGTTGAGGAACAATAATTGATATGCAGTACTACTGCATTGGGTTTATTGTATCTCAGCTTCTATGACACATCGTAAATTATCTGAGAGATTATCATCTCACTTTTTTTATTATGTTGTAATTCACTACCTTTTTAACAATCGCTTTTTTTCAAGTTCAAAGGATTTGACTAATGCGAAAACGCTTGCTCAAGGAAGCGCTAATGAATGCATAGTTTCACAGTCTTCTGACGTACCTATGGACTCAGTCAATGCGTAAGTTTCTTTCTTACGAAGTTCTTGCATCTGCTTGAATTTTAGTATGATGAAACTATTTTACGGACCAACTTGTTTAATGATTGGGGATGTTGGTGTGTGAAATAGTACCAGTGTGCTTGAAATTCCCTAAGAAGTAGATTTTTAGACGTGAGTCGGCTACGACTCACATTCACTCTATCTTCAAAGTGGGACAGAATTTTTGTTCTTTTACGATGAAGTGTGATTGGTTACTGAGCAAAGACATTTGCCTTACCCTAATTAAAAAAATTATATAGACTATCGTTATATTTGGAAGCTTAATTAACTCATGATTTTCGATTGGGCTATTGGATGTTGTTTTATTTAAATCTTTGGTTGTGATCTAATTTAGTAGTTTAATTCTATAGTGTATTCTGTGTATAATCAAAACGTTGGACTAAATGATGCTTAGGTTCGAGGTAGTTTACTAGGTTTGATCATTTCAATTGAACACATGAGACCTGATATATTGTGGCACCGAAAAAGAAAATGGGGAAACAAAGAACAATCGAAAAGAAAAGCTCTATGGTCATAGCAACTATGTGAGCCTACTGTAGTTCTTCTTTCTTTATTTATATTAAATTATTCCACTTGAATTTGCTTATGTATTCATTTATGTTTCTACATTTCCAGAATTTCAACTAATGTAGATAGTTCACTAATGGTAAGTTACGAATCAAATAATAATTCTAGTTATTTTTACCTACTGATCATTTGATTTACATGTACAACGATGTGTGTGCCAGTTTATACAGCGGATTGTTTTTCTAAAGTTCATGTAACAAGCTACATCCCTTAGAGTAGCTGCTACCTTGACGTGGTAGTCGGGTTTGCCTATCGTAATAACTCAATCAAGCTATACTGGCCTGGATACTCGTTCCTTAATGTTCTACCATTTCAGATAGATCTATTGGAAAAAAGTTTGAACTCAAAGCACTAACTTATGGTACGAGGGTGAATTTGTACTTCTGACTGTAAAGGAATGTGACAGTAGTGAAATGTTTCCGTTGGACAACTAGCATCTTCAGTGGTCTTGCCTTCTCACAGTGGAAGTAAACAGTTAGAAAAAGTCGACCCTAAAAAAACATCAAAACTTACCTCACCACACTGGTTTTCTTCTCAGGCATTAATACCTTTGAAAGTGTGGAGCTAACGCATCAAAAGCTTCCCATACGTATGCCCTACCACCTCTTATCTCAACGATCAATTTTGTCTGATGTATGAGTAGGCTATGTAAAGAACAGATTTTCATTTTGCCTAAATAACTAACGAACAGCATTCCTCACACATTTACAATCATCGTTCTTATATATTAAACGGGCTTCTATGTGTTTTCAATATTTTTATGGATATATCATGATGTTTTCATGTTATATCTTTGTTTTGGATACAACAATGTTCAACCACGGAATAGGCCACATTGATTTATTTTCTAATTGGGAATTATAAACTACGTTGTCATGCATATTATTTAGTTAATATTTAGATTATTTTATATCCATGTTTCAGTTTGCAAATTCTATTTAACAAGGGCAGTTATGGTAGTATTGTAGTGAACAAGAACATGAAATCACAAAACATCTCACTAAAATCTGAGAACCATAGTTAATTTGCAAAATGTCAATCAATTGTCTCGAACTTGACTGTTCTTTTTGCAAATATCAGTCCATCGTTTCAGGTTTCATTGTTCATGCATTTTCATACCAATTGATTTCGGTTCCCGTTCTTTCTTTCTCGATCTTCTACTGAAATACATTCTATGCCTGACCATCGTTATATACTACTTATGTGAATATAAGTAGCTCACACCACAACATCTGTTTTCTATTTTAGCCTTCTGCACAGTTCAGCACTGAAATAATCAATAATTCTACTCATTTGGAAAACATCAAACAATCGAATGTTGTATTAGAACAAGTTGAATTGACTAAAGATTTTTTAACAGAAACAGAAATGACTCAGATATTACCTCAGGAAGAAGAAGAAAGGTTAGTTACTCATTTTATAATTTATCTTTTTTTCAAGTCACATAAATCTACTATAAAAAACACAACAAAAAGAAATGTATAAAGAAAACTTAAAACACCTTTATAAGTAGAGATGGATGATCGTTATCAAATGGGATCCAGGATATGCGTTTCATCCTATTTTGAATTACGCCAGATTGATTTATCTACACTCCAAAGTTGATGTTTATTCCGGTGTTTCAATCCCATTATCGTTCGCTTCAAATAACCAATTCAAAAATTAAAATAGTTCTTCCTTCTATTAAATCTGAATAATGATATAAAAATATGAAGGTTATCATTTATTCATTTCTCTAATAATTCCTAAAGATTTGTTACTTTAATGCACCGACTTAGTTTAGTTCACATTTAAAAATGAATCCTTCCAACAGATTGATAGAGGTTTATGTGAATGTGCCATTATTAGCTGATGTGTTCATGACACATATTGAAAATTTCGCTAAAGATCCATTCGAAAATACATACCTTTATGAGCGAATACGTATATGACATCATAGTTATCGGTAACAAAACAGGATGCAAATTTTTTTTCATACAAAGAGAAGGATAACCCGCTTCTTTTCTTAAATATACTTATATGTAAAAGAGATGGTTTAGTCAAACGATACATTTTTAGAATGCTCTCTTAGTTTTTATGGTTATTGCCCAGTTCAGTCATGACAATGATGTTATCATCGTTGCAGAAAATGTAAATTCATGGATCACAAAAATGGATTTTGTCAAAAGAGGAAGCTAAATCACTCCAGAAATACCAAAAAGCCTATGTTCCAGATCATGCACAAATTTGTTGAGCCTAACAGTGTACTTCAGGAATTAAATTGTACTCTGAAAAATTTTGATTGACTACATTTTGTTATCGTAAATAATGAGACTGTCATAAAATTGGTTGATTTAAAAGTGTTAATCAATGGAAGGACAGCTGGGAATCAACGTCCTTTTATCCTGTTTTCAAAATGGTTACCACTACGAACCAACTCATTTGTTTGCACTGAAACGATATAATGTGTTGAGACCTATTTAAACCATGATGTCTAATTATGTATATCAACTTATTTTGGACGTAACAAGACTTTTATTCGTTTTTTCCACTTCTTTTTAATTGCTCAATTGATTTTTTTAAACTACATATTCACATTACGTAAAATATATTAGTAGTGAAGATTTATACTCATATATCTATGATTTTGGTATTTCTTCTATGACTAGAGCCTTTACTAGTGCTTCTGAACAGAACTTATGTCCAATTTCGTTATCTCGATTAAATCCATTACATCCTGTCGAATCTGAGGAGAATACGCATCGTCGTCGTATAAAAAAGCATTCTAATAAGCTCATCATTGATGAAATCACCCGACTAACAGCATCAGAATTACGCTGGAACATGTTACATGGCGAGGAGACGATGGTTACACGAGACATTTATCTGGCTGAATCAACTCCACGCAGTCAAACACGATATCTGTTGTCTCGGAGTGTTTCACGATTATTCTCTGTCCCCAGTAATCTGGAAACTGCTCTTAGTTTAAGACTTTGTGAAGTACGTCATTTGTTTGCATCTATACTTCTTACTTGTAACAAAGAGAATTTCCCTATCTGACATATTTTCATTCCAGTAAAAACGGCCTTTTTAATAAAAACGGAGTTGATGTTGACTTTGAGCAGACGTTTTATGGATTATAGATGTAACTGAATTAAGAGAAGTAATTATCAGCCTAACTTAAATCAAAATATTCAATATTTTCATAAGCTCTGTCAGTTTAGTTTAGTTTTCCCGAATAAGCGTATCAATTAACGATTAATTCAACAATATATGATGTTTAGTCCGTTGTTGAAATTAATTTGACAATCTTCAGATGATACGTTTTATTGTTCTGACCATCTCAGTTTCAAATTTAAATTTATCAACCAGTTCTCACCTTTCCTCTGATCACTAGGCATAGCATTCGTCATTAAATCTTTATTTTCATTCCGGTAAATATTTAAGTCTGTATATTTAGACAGTTCGTCTTTCATCGTCTTATTGATGTATATTACCGTCAGATGCTGTATTAATTCATAAAATATATCCGTACATCTTTTCTACACAACGAGTTAAAATAATTATTTATGTAGGAGATTAGTTTCCTGCAACTTTTTTTCCAGTTGAATGAGTTGATTAAAAACTCTAAGTTCAACAGCCCGAACACTTTTGAAGTTAGTTCCTCTGAGTAAAACTGAAAAAAAAAACAACTATTACAATGAAAACATGTTAGATCAGTTCAATGTTGTCGTGGTGCTTTATTTTCTACTCTTATACTATTGTGAGAAAAAAGTAATGTGTAAACTGTTGTATTGGACGTGTAGTTGTATACACTCTCTATCATCTGCCCTTAAACTGAGATTAAAATCGTTTCATATCTTTCTTTCTATACTATATCCTTACATGAAATCTTTTTATATATTACACCATTGAGTTAACTGATTCTATGAGTCCGGTGTTCGTCTTGCTGTGCTAATGTGGTGTGGCAACTTGGACCGATGCATACATATGCCTGGTCCTACTTTGTAATTGACTGATTGGATGTAGCATTCACAGCAACTAACCAAGTGTTTTCTTATCCGTACAAATAGTGGTAAGCCAATTTAAAGCACAGTTTATCAGTTCATATAACATTGACATTAGAATGGATCACATCAATAGTTTATGTTTAAGATCAATATGTGTATTTTTCCCCTAGCTTTGGTGTTATCATCGGCGTTTATGTGAAAAAGCTTTACAAAAAAGGAAATTAGATGATTTGTCAATAAATAATGATGTAATCCAAACTAAACGTCCTACTAAATCATTATCAATAAAAATGAATGCTATTACAGAAGAAAATGAATCTTCAGTAGAAATTCAAAGAATTGCTGGAGATCATTCTTCTCTAATTGGATCTGAATCTATTTTTGGAACTAGTAATATAATTGATGTAACCAATAATCAGGTGAGATAAAGCAAAATTATTCATACCATTTTTGTTATATGATTTGCATCATTTAAACTCATCTTGTTTGGATAACATAACACCTTTCTTTAATATCGGTCCATGAGGACTGATCTCATTGGTAATCCGTTTGTATTTGGACGGATTCATTTCACAAATAAAAATTGTTTAAGCTAATTAATTTCTATAAAAAAGTAATGATAATGACATTGTGACGTTGTTTTTTCTGTGACACTTATATATCTATGTCATTTTGTCCCGAATGAATTAAAATCTAATTTACCAAAATCATCCGGTGTTGACTATCTTCAAGTGAGACGAGCATTAGGGCTGAAGTATTTGTATAGGCTGATTCGTATCAAATAATAATACCAAGAACTAATTTAATATGTAATAACTTTTGTTCCACAGTGATCACATTCCGTTGTTTCGATTTATTGGTTTGCCCACGTAGCATTTTTTGATGTAATCTGTCCGATAAATTGCTTTATTGACACTACACAATTTAGAATACACCAGTCTTATGAGCAATGGTAGATAGTGGCTAGCAGTGGAATCTAGGACGTGCGTTTCGTCCTATTTGAGACTCGTCAGATTGATGTACCTGCATCTCAGAGTTGATGTTCACTTTTTGGGACTCAAACCTTTTACCGTTCGCTTCGAACACCATCGCGTTATCCATTTAACTACTGCAGTCTGTCTTTGCCTATAATGTTTGTGAATTAAGGCAATACACACAGTATGCACATATGCCAATAAGAAACTGATCAATTTCAGTCCTAAACATCAATGGAAGATTCAAGTAAACAATACCATTTTAATTTACACCAGTCTTATCTTGAAAATATTGTCCTTCCGTACTAATACCTTTCTCATTTGTGTTAACATTGTTTGAAACACCACTGAAAGGTCTTTGAAGTTAGGCTATTTAGCTATATGTTTTCTTAAATTTGTATGCATAAAAGATTATCCTGAATTCACTTCACAAAGCAGACTTCAAATGTTCGACTTTTTCATTAACTCGAGAGTTAGACTGCCTTTCTGGTTTTATAATCTTGATCCATTTGAAGTTTTACATTTAGCTGATTAATTATTTTACACCGAAGTTATGAATGGGTATTTACTTCTTCTTTATTCTTTTAGATCCCTATTTCATAAGTTCATTAATTTCATAGACACTCAAATGATTCTATGAAAACTGGTACCTCTTCATATATATAAATATACACAAACTTTTCTTGTCTGTTAAAGTTTATTACTCAATCATCTTAATAGGGATGATATGACCACTTTCTATATCTGACCTTTAGTGATTCACTCCAATTTCACTGCTATGTATTGGGTATCATAGAAGGTTATTCTGTTATGATTATAATTCTTTTTAAATATCAATTCTTTTCACTTATATTACATTAGACGATCAGTGTGCGTGAATCATTAGTGCAAATGAAAGAATCTTTTGGGGGTGCTAGTGATCAACCTATCCCAGATATCGTAACAAATGTACGTGATAATACTGCTTCTGAAATAACTCGTCAAGCCCTAGATCTCCCTATTCCAGGGACTTCAATATCTTTGCCTACTGAGTGTACAACATTAGTTCCTGTAATTGAAGAACCTGAAGAAAATCTGCAACAACAAAATGAGTTAGGTTAGTTTATGTTTTTATTAATATTTTCACTCATTAAATCAAGTTTTATCTCCACTGGACGATGTGACTAGACCACATCGCCAAATAAGTTTAGCTATAAACTGCCGCTCGTCTTGAGTTACAGACGTATACTAATGATGTTCTAATCCGGTCACACCTTTGGCTGTTTCTTACTTGAAGCAGGAAATTCACTGCAATAAAATTATTTGTGATACAAAGTATATTTTAGGAACAGCTACAGAGATAATCAAAGATGAAAGTGGTATGTATCACAATATAAGTGGACGTGATATGTTTTTGACCATAAGGCATCGTTCCGCTTTTTCGACCAACATATTTCGTGCTATTGTTTCATTGAAAAACGTACTCGAACGTTCGTAGACCTTTTAAAAACTCTGCCGAATTACTAGTTATCGAGTTTGAGCTTACGGTCAGATATAATGACATCAAGCAGAGATAGCCCTCTCGTCATCTTACTTTTTTCAGGAATCGCTTAATTACTGAGATATTATATTGATTCATCTTCTCATAGTGACAATTCTGTCTGATAGAAAAGCCGCTAAAATGCAGCCCTCTGATCACCTTAAGCAACAATGCAAACTTGTTCGGGATTTATATCTCTCTCTAAGTGTGAATTGTTGCTTTGGAACTGTTCCACGTGAATGCTTGTGCTTAAGTTGTTGAAAGTGTCGACTACTTCACTTATTTTGAAGCCTTAGTTAACACTGGTGCATTGTTGTTTGACAAGATCCCGGTATGGTCTGAAAAAACTAGACTAGTTTTCAAGAATCCTCATTATTTGTAGTGTAGTTGAAATGTCGCTCTATCGATCACGGAATGCTTATTCATTCTTCTCGAATCATATCGTTTGAACCTAATGTTTCCCACTACTCTGATGCTGTTACGATTTTCAGTATATCATTTATGTTGATAATTCGAGCTTGATATATCATAACAAGTTGAATCAACGTACATAGGTGATAGGTTCTGCGCTTCTGACTGAATATTATGTAGTTCATCGTTATGTATAAAAGTGTTCTATAACGTCCATAACTGATGAATTTCAAAGCGAAAAACATGACTGCTTATACAATCTTTCCCCCAAATAAGTAAACGAATATTGTTCTATCTTTAAAACACTTTTTTCTGTAGGTTTATTTTCAGAACATATATAGTAGTTACTTTTTATTATTTATGTGTCGTATATATTTCACCTTTGATTGTTTGTAGATTCTTCGTCTGTTGTTCCCAATTTAGTTGAAGCACTACCTGATCAATCTCAACTGCCTACTGAAGTTTCCTCTTTATCGGGAAAACATTTTCATGATAAATCACAATTATGGGGGTAATTGTAATTGTTCACTTGTTTCTTTTCTTTTTATATTTCTCCTGAAGGATTTGTAAGTAATATTAAAACTATAAGGACTACCATACCTAGAAGTTAATATCACAAATAATTAAGTTAATTGTAATCTGAGAACATTTCACCAGTTACAGTTGTGGAATAATGATGCATCCAGGCGGTTTAAGATCTATGAGTAACTAGAGAGTAGAGGCCCCCAAATGCCCTGGTATGGCCGAGAGTGGGGTAGTTTCGCCCTCTCTCTCGAAATGCTCTCACACGGCCACGCGTATACAGCCTCTGCCAGGGAAGTCCTACTCACTGCCTTCTCGTGGCGGGGGTGTTGTTTACGAAATTGAGAGGACGAAAAGCGAATGTGCGGCGCTTTAACCGGATTCCAAACCAATGGTGCACATGGGCTCCAGCATCCTGCGGGAAAAAATGGCGTATGAACCAACCGTTGGTCACGGGCTACCATGGGACTGCATCTCCTCACGATGCTCCACTGCCTTGTGGGTCAGACCTTTAGGTCAAAGGCTCGGGGAGTGGCCCCCTAAGAAAACCACCTGCTTCGGTTTGGGCACCCGGGCAGTATCACACCCCACACACACAAATATGGTGTGGCGCATATACATTTGGTGCCCTCTTGTACCGATATTTATGTGTTGAAATAATAATAATCAAGAGAGTGGAGATAGACTTACGGCATATATGTATATATAAACACTTATGTCAAAATGCTTCCGATTATTATTGATATATGGTCGTTAACGGATTAATCGGACAAGTATCTATGTTCATATGATCTAGTGTACGCCATGTTATGAGAGATCATTTTCTCTTGACCGTGAATTAGGAAAAACGATACATTATTCATTTATTCGAACGAAATTATAAAACTTGGTAATTTCATTTCGAATAGGTTGTGGTTAACTGAACACATTTTCATTTGTTTTTTTTAAAATTAATTAGTAATTTCATTTACTACAATGAAACGTCTTTTCGTCAGATTTGTATAGATATTCATATCTTCAACCACGAGTTCATATGTGTTCATGATACTGATTTATATCCTTTCTGTTTTTGTCCCTAACCTTCTACTTGCACGAAAAAGCCAAAAGTAGATAGGAAGCTTTTATTGACTAACTGAATTAAAAGGTTTACACAAACAATTTCATAAATATTAATGTCTATCTATTATTTTATTTTTATTTACTTTATTTTAACACATAAACATTGGTACAAGGAGGCACCAAATAGATATGCGCCACATAAATCATTCAATTTGTGTGAGGGATGGGATACTGCTCAGGTGCCCAAACCGAAGCAGGTGGTTTTCTTAAAGGGCTACACCCCGAGCCTTGTACCTAAAGGTCTGACCCACAAGGCAGTGGAGCATCGTGAGGAGATGCAGTCCCATGGTAGCCCGTGACCAACAATTGGTTCATACGCCATTTGTTCCTTCAAGATACTGAAGCCCATGTGCACCATTGGTTTGGAATCCGGTTAAAGCGCCGCACATTCGCTTTTCGTCCTCTCAATTTCGTAAACTACACCCCTGCCACGAGCAGGCAGTGAGTAGGACTTCCCTGGCAGAGGCTGTATATGCGTGGCCGTGTGAGAGCATTTCGAGAGAGAGGGCGAAACTACCCCACTCTCGGCCATACCAGAGCATTTGGGGGGCATTCACAGTTATTTAATATACCCCTGTGGGTCAGGGTAATTTTACATTGGTTTTCAGGAGAACCGGACACCGTATATGCTTTAACGCTACAATCTGAATAGTACAGCTCAGTCCTGTGGCGAACCACACAGGAAATTGAGTCAACTGATAGCATATATCTTTTCCTCGGAAAATTAAACTAAATCTTGACCAATTGTATTCACTACTTATCAACTCTCATTTAGTATTTAGGCCTGAACTGATGTTTAATTGGTTCAACCTATAAGTTTTTAGTGTTTTTTTGTTATGTTAAGTTTCCGAATTCCATTAAAATGTTCATGGGTTTGTACTTAGAAATCAACTTTCTCTGTTGTTGATATGTCCATTACAGTGTAACCCTTGATTCAACCTTTTCTACAATTTAATCGTGATTTGTATGATTGTTTTGTATCCATCTACGTATTGAAGATATATTTAGTATTTTTCCCTACATGGATATAATAACACTTTGATTCTTCAATTTAGATATCTCTATAGTCAACTAATAGAGTCAAATTCTTATTCGATCGACATTGAAAACCTTTGTCCATTGGGTTGCAGTAAAAAACAAGCAGCATTTGTATTCATGACGCTTTTAGGTATGAAATTTATTCATTTTAACTGTTCTTTCTCTTTATTTAAGTTTTTTTATTTCTGTCACTAATGGTAAAACTCAGTTCACAATCCTCTTCAACTAGTATGTCGACTTATCAAACTTTGTAAACACGGAATACCAAAGAACCACTGCTTTGCACATCTATTGAATTCACAGTTCTCAGTTGATTCATAGCAATCAGTTCTATAATAATTTGACTAAACCTTTCACTCTAACGTGATATATACGAAAATCTTTACCAAGATAAAATATTTATAATTATTCTTAGTTTAGTGGGGTAAAGGTATCATATACTGATGGCATTGAGTTAACCATACAGAAGTGCAATGGTAGATAACTATGATGTTACCACAAGCAAAATAAATATTGGCATTGTTTGAAATTGAAAACAATATCTATTATGCAACCAAAAAGTGAATTTTAGATTATTACTTCTTACAGCTTACTTCCGCATGTTACTCCCAATGGAGCATAGGCCGCCTGGAGTCCCTCCGAGGGCTACTGCCGGTCCCAAACCCGGATAAAGGAGGAGGGTTGGGCATGGGGTTAGCGTCCCCATCCCGTAGAAAACTAACTCGCTAAAAAAAACGCTAACCAGAAAATTTTAGATTATGCCCATGATAAATTACAAAACACTTACACTCTTAAGTTAGAATGTTTGGTTAAGTACCTGATGTAATTCAGTATGTAGTCAATAGTGCTTCGTGAGGCTAGATAGTATTTTATCACTCAATTCCTTAATTTTTAACTCGAATCTCAACTTTTATAAGTTTGTAAACAGACGGATGGTAAATAATTGCATTACAGTTGATGCCATCTCTTGACGAAAACTTCAACCCTGACTTGTACACGCACTTTAGAACTCCAGCGTAACTCTAACCTTTTTGTGTTATCTCGAGTGTTATCTGTTGACAAGATCTATTTGGGGTAATAGTCTTAGCTCACAACGCTGCAAACCTTAACCTTTTTCGTTTACTAAAATGAATAATTCTTCATAGGAAGGTTGATTATTAAGATCAGAGCTATTATTGCTTATCGCTGTTAATTCTTTTATAATTCGTTAGCGTCTCGTGATTACCTGATAGTTCGCCCAAGGTTGTCAGCACATTATACTTTCATCTTTAATACTTTGAAATTTCATGGTGAATTTTAACTTCACATAGTACATTTTCCCATTTGACTATTCAGGAGTTAGTTGGTAATATAGCTTTCATTTAAAGTTGATGTCAGAAACTTGAGTGAACATTGTACTGATTGAATTTGTTGAATATAAATAAACCGGTGATACCTTATATACTAATCATATTTCATCACATTCGATAGAAATTTAAAGCTCTTATTATTCCTTTTAACTCATCTCTGTTTATTTCACGTCCTTATTTATAATCCAAATGGTTCAACATTAACCTCTAGATGATTATTTTTGTGAGAATTAGGTCAATTTATAGTTTATTTTCATCAAGAACTGACATCGAATTGAGTACCATTGAAAAGAAAAGAACAACAAACAGCTAACCCGTCCTAGTATGAAGGTTAGCAGTACGTGCCACTGTCATACTGAGAATCAAGCCGGTGACCATGTTTCGTTGTCACTGAGTCGCTTTTAGGTCAATAAGTTGAGATCCAGTGGATCAAATCTCCGACTACAATGTTTTCCAGATAAATTGTAACTATTATTCAACCCAATCGGTTATGACTGTCCTTCTTAACATAATTGGACTTCAATTGTCACAACTCACAAACCCTTTAAGAATTCATCCTGAAGTTGGTCCTTTGTGAAATTTTAACTGGAGATTTTGTAGAGATTTGGTTTTAAATGTAATACGTCCACTACTAGATCGAAAAGTCCTGAGTTCGACCCGTCTCAAGTTCGTGTCTGCTTTATACTAAATCAGTTAGCTCATACTACCTAGTTTTATGTGATACTGTAGATAATCAACAAGGTTCTGTATATTTAGACTTACTGGACCTCCATTTAACTAGTTAATGAGATAGAGTTTCACTAATAAGTGTAACTCTTAAAGTCATTGACTGTTGAATTAAATAATATAGTCAAATACAACATATCAGACAAAAGTCCTCACAACTCGCATAATCAATAGTTGAACACGTTGACTGATATCACTCAAAATCAATGAGTAGTATGAGACCCTTCAGTTGTCATCTGTTCAATGCTTTCAAGTTTTCGATGATTACCAATCTAAGTTTGGTTCATGATTTCAAGAATTTCCAATAATCTTCGTCTTGGTAACTTTTGTTTATGTTTACATTTAATTGATTTATTAAATTTCTTTTGTTATTTTAGAGTTTGCCAAAAATCGCCAAATTATTTTATCACAATGCGTAGCTTTTGGACAAATTCTCATAACAATAATACACTAAGTATTATGAGTTTTAAATCCATTATTCATTGTTTGTTATACCGTTTGTTCATGGAATATTATTATCATTTTTTATACAACCTTTTCTTATTATAGTACTTTATCAGTTTTGATGAATCAATTTTTCATAATGGATGATCCTATCATCATTATTTTACATGCAAATCCTGTGGACAACAATTCATATCTAGGGGGCATCGAATACATATGCACCATACAAGTCACTTGATTTATGTGTGGGCTGTGATACTGCCCAGATGCCCAAACTGAAGCAGGTGTTTTTCTTAGGAGGTCACTCTCGGAGCCTCCGACGTTCTCATGGTATCCGGTGACCAACGATTGGTCCATACGCCATTTCGTCCCTCAGGATCCTAGAGCTCATGTGAATCATTTGTTTGGTATCAAGGTTTTCCAACCCACCTAGGTGGATCCATCATATTCACCAACCCGCTTAAATCGCGAGACATTCGCTCTTCATCCTCTTAATTTCGTAAACAACACCGCCATCGCGAGGATGTAGTGAGTAGGAATTCCCTGACAGTAGCTGTATACGCGTGGCCATGTGAGAGGATTTCGAAAAGGAGAGCGAACTCTCTGCTGAACCAGAGCATCTAGGGGCTCTTGGCTCATTATTCAAATTGAATAGATAAGTGTGCTAATATCAACCTAAAGCTTACAGTCTTACATACGTGACTGAAGATGAGTCCTTGATTCATCTTATTACATAATATCACTCATATAAACAAATATTTGTGACATTTAAAAGTTCAATATAAACTATGTATAAGCTAATGTGAAGTTTTTCACATTAGAATCGATTATATCAAACACAGTTAATGAATGTTTTGATATAATTTAATACAAGTGACTGATTACAAAAGGAATTTTACTCTACAACATTAGTTATATCCATAACAAACCAATCAAATTGTTGCTTAAATACCCACTACGTCAATCTAGTCTGATGTCTGCGTAGACTGATCCTTGTTGCTTGTGTCCTACCAATTGAAGAACATAATTATCGTATTATATTAGTGTGACTCAAATTTTTTTTAATCATTTCGATAAGACACGTAATACGGATCGGTATGTTTTGTACGTCCTACTTAATAATTAGAATTTCCTTAATTGTTTTTACATTTAGAAATAGATATAAAGTTTAAAGCCAAGTTGTCCGAGATCGTCAGTATCGCGTTTATTGTTCTAATAGAATATCTGTAGAACAAATTAATTCCTACGCTATGCAAATGAATGTAATTTGATCTAATTGAATAAGCATTGGTTTATTAGCTCTGTGTTCATACCAAATATTGAAAGTTTCCTCATTACAAATATGAAACAGCTAATAAAGCCTTCTCATAAAAAACTTCATGCAATTAGTTGCTTACAACCAAATATGTATTAGAATTTTACATTGAGATAACAAATATGTAAGTGCAAGAATAGGTCAGAGGTTATTAGGTGTTAGAATCAAGGAAACATTAAAGATGGGTGATGTAATAGTCGAGTGAAGTTGAGAAGTAATGAAGGATTCATGGGATTAAAAAACTGATAAGATGGGTTACGTAATCATTGAACAGAATTTCAAGAGTCCACATAATTTAAGAGAGCCAAGTGAATGGACATTTATGAGTGATGTGGTGGTTTAAGAATTCGATAATGGGAGAGGAATATAACATAAACTAAATATTAACTAACAAAATAAGACTAGTAACCAAACGCACAAAAAAAGGATTACCAGAGTAGTAATAAGTTTATTACTGTCTCTTTCTGAATACATAGATCCGGCTTAAGTTTTTTATATCGCTATCGCTTCAGCAAAACGGAGAGCAGCCATACTTCTTTGTTTGTTAATCATTTTAAAAGCATGAGAGATTTCAATGGTATGCCCGGTGTCAAGTAAATGCCGAGCTGTTGCACTGTTGAGAGCCTTAGTCCCTCTCAGCCTCAATTTCTTTGAAACATGCTCAGAAATGCGAACATATATTCTCTCAGTTCTTCCAATGTATGTGCTTTGGCCCGTACATGTGAATTGGTAAATGCAGTTGTAGCTACTGTGGAAAGAGGACTTGTCGATTTTAGTTTGTTTGAGTGAGCAGTTCGTTTCTCATACCATCGTCAGTTTTGCTGCTGGGTAGGTCACTTTCAACGCGGAATTTATTCTATGATTAATTATTCCAGTACTTTCATCTTTAAAGCGTAAGTATAAGAAGCAAGTTTTCTTTTCCACTCTGTCATACTTGACCCGTGGGTTGGTATTTGCATATTAATGGATGAATTTTGACGTAGACACTTAGTGACGAGAGCAATTTCTTCTTTCAAGCATTCCTTTGAGCAAATTTTACGTGCGCCGTCAAAAAGGGTTAGTACAATACCCTATTTGTGACTCATCTGACTTGTTCTTATATATATAGTTATCATTGATAACATTTGTCATTCCAATCCTTTACATCCACTTACGTCAATTATTCCATACTATTTCTTATCTTATTGGCTGTAAGCAACTGACGAGAAACCTCGAAATATAATGAATTCATATTATTCTGCATCAATATTTGTTGTGGTTTTATTTAAATTTATAAAAAATTGCTTTAGTCAGTTTAGTACATAACACTTATGAATAAATAGCAATACCACTTAGAACAAATAAGTAGTTCAAGTTATACGTTTCCTAGAATTAAGACACATTCCCATAGTATTATGTTGTCATATAAAGCTACTAATTATATCGTACTTTTACGGTAGACTTGGATGTGACATTTTTACGATACAACATGGTTAGTTTAAGTGAATATATAGATGCCAAATGTTATGAAGTATTATAAACATAAAACATTCAGTGATATAATTAAACCAGTCCAGATTAATATCTAAATTCAGATAAATCAAAAGTTCCGAAATATCCACAGCCAGTTTTGACAAATAGTTTAAATCCAATGAGAACAGAATCAGGCACGCAATATTACAACAATTTTTGAATGTGCATGATGTTTTCAGTTTAGCCAGTCGATTCATCAATAATAAATCTAAAAAAATTCATAGGAATATGTGGTATTTGCATGAACGACCATTTGGATATCCGGCACATTGCCCCTACGGAAATTAGACAAAGTGGTCGAAAGAGAAGATATAAGATGATAACTCGTGGTTTAAATCGAGTAAAATAGTTATCGGCGGGCGATTAGATTGAAATAACTAGTCAATCCCTTTGGCGAGCCTGTACAGAGGGATTGGTTTATTTGAGGTGATTTTCCATTGTTTCCATACGATTCTAGGTATTTCGTAATACACAATGGTCGGCAGTCTAGCCACTCGACAGTACTAATTCAAGCCAAATCAGTAGTTATTTATGAGTGTGTATCATGTGATCCGAGTGAGCTCACTCGTCTCAGGCCAGTAGGGATTTTGGTACCAGAACGTACTACATTTGCAATATGAAAATAAGAAAAGATCATCCACACACAAATGAAGACGGTTGTTTCAAGAAGCAAATAAGTTAACCATTTGGTAAACTGATGACTTTCTGAAAATGGCCTATGTTACCTATTAAGTATCAGTGTTAACACGAATGAGAAACAAGGTCCGGTATCTATTTGACAGACTTTAAAATAAAGTAAAACCTTTGAGATTCTGCTTGTTCAATTTTTTTGTGTAAATATCCAAATCTGTTTATGTTCATATTATTGTTATTATCATGATTGGTCTCCTGACACTTTAAATATTCTTTTCTGTTCATTCCACATAATATCTTTTTCCATACACATAATTCCCTTAATCATTTTAAAAAGTGCAAGAATAAAGATTCTGACAGAATAGCATGGGTTCATTTTCACTTCATAGGTTCTCTTCAACTACATACAATCTGTGATATTTAAGATCATGATTATATAATGGGTTTAAATTACTTACATGAATGTGTTTGGTTGGGAGTTCTATTGAAGACATATTCATAGAGTACAGCAAGGGTGGAAATAAAATAGACTGAATATTGTAAATATATACCTTATATGATAAAAGAACATTCTACAACATAGTGACAACAGTTCAAATGGCTAGAAATAAATGATTACATAATGAATAAATATTGATAGGAATATAGTGAGTAGAGCTCAGTTGATAAAATAAAATGATTGATTTAGAAAATCGTTGAAATAAAACTCGTCCTACATGAAAATCAGTAATCTGAGGTTTAGCACTTTTGAAGAACACATTTGGAATAGGGATGGAATAATACGCTTAACATGACGAGCAAGAAGTTACATCGCGCACTATTTCTGACAAAATGTATCTCTCAAGTGATGAAATTTATACTATCTTAGTGGTACATGCTGTAGGGTTAAACTTCAATGTTGTTTCGCTTTCGTGACAATTTACCAGTAGGCAAATTTTAAGGCCTATCTGATAGAAATATATGTGGTAATAAGATTTATGGGAATAATAATTCCATTTAAATTGTACGCACACTATGTCATATTATTATTTATAAAGAACGATGACCCAAACCTAATGTATTTTTTTGTTAGCGTTTTTTATACATATGGACATACACGCAGTGCATTGGGGTCAAATGCATGTTTTTAGGTTGTAAGTGGTGATAGTTGTCAATGTACTTCCGAAAACCATACATCTAACTCATCATCGCAATCTATGCAAACAAGACGAACTCAGTTATCTGTGCATGCTTCATTTGTAACAAATGCACGCTTTTGGTCTGTATATACGTGTAAGACTAGATTTTTGACATCAGTTAGCTTTATTATTAGAAAAATCATTGACTCAGGATTTTTGTCAGTGCTCTCACGTCAAAAATCACTGTTTTCACCTATTCTTCGCTAGCTGTTTGATTTACATACGTTTGTTCATCGAACAACAGGGTCTTTTGAAGGTTCGTGTGGTTCTTTTTCGCGTCCACTGGGTATATGTGTCGTCCGTTTGCACTAATTTGGCGACGTCTTTTTTATC